AAACATTCCTTTTTCTCTGCAATCTCTCCAGCATCTGTTGTTTCTTGACTTTTTAATAATTGCTATTCTGACTGTCATGAGATGATATCTCATTGTGGTTTTGATTTGCATTTCTCTAATGATCAGTGATGTTGAGCTTTCTTCATATTTGTCGAGCACATGAATGTCTTCTTTTGAGAAATGTCTGTTCATGTCCTTTGCCCACTTTTTAATGCAGTTGTTTTTTTCTCGTAAATTTGTTTACGTTCCCTTAGACTGCATATCAGACCTTTGTCAGATGGATAGATTGCAAAAGCTTTCTTCCATTCTGTAGTGTGTCTGTTTGCTCTGATCATAGTTTCTTTTGCTGTGCAGAAACTCATTAACTAGATCCCATTGTCAGTTTTTGCTTTTGTCGCAATCGTTTTTGGCATTTTCATCATGAAAACTTTGCTGATGCCTGTGTTCTAAATGGTATTGCCTAGATTTTCTTCTAGGGTTTTTATAGTTTTGGGTTTTACATTTAAATCTTTTAGTTTTACACTTAAGTCTTTACATTTAGTCCATCTTGAGTTAATTTTTGTATAAAGTGTAAGGAAGGGGTTCAGTTTCAACTTTCTGCATATGGCTAGCCAGTTCTCCCAACACCATTTATTAGATAGGGAATCTTTTCCCCTTTGCTTCTGTCAAATTTGTCTCTTCGACATTTGATGTGAGTGAGGTCTCACTCCCAGTTCTCAGTTCCTTGGAGGCCACGGTTACGCTTTCTTGGCTTTTGGAGCCATGACGATAGAAGGGCTGCTCTGCCTTGCTGTGCCCCTTGAACAGGAAGGGTGGTGGGAGCTGCAGCAGGTGGCTGTGAGGGGCAGGGAGCGTGGAGAGGAGGGGTGGGGCCAGGTGTGTTCTCCTCCCTCCATGGGCACGTCTGCATCTCACTGGTTTGTACTGAGTGAACCTCTGGGATTTGTTGGGTGGGACAAGGAGGAATCAAAGGGCAGGAACAGGCAGCTTCTCCTAGCAGGTGCTAAAATCTAAGAGATTACAGGCCGCTTACACCACGACTTCAGACCTGTGTTTAACTTCAGGGAAGGCGTGAGGACACAGGTCATGGGGCAAGCGTGTCATGGGGCATGGCCTGCAGAGAAAACCTCAAAGTTAAACACCTGCCTCCGTCTCTTACTCACTGAGTCATCAGCTAGGGAAGGTAGGGGAACTCCTCTCTTTCTCTTGTTTTGGGGAGAGCTAAATCATTACATTTTATCTGGAAGCATACAGTATTTTTCCATTGTAAAAATTAATTATGCTCATCATAGAGCTATTTCAGCAAATAGGAAGTCAGAATCCAAGGAAAAAGACACAACTGATACTTAAGCACTCACTGACACTCACTGGTGTATTTTCTTTTTTTCTGCTTTTTTCTAATGAGTGGTTTGTAAACTTTTGTATCCCGTTCTTTTTAACACTGAAGCATGAAAATACTGCGTGTTATTACAAATTCTGCAGAAATATGCTAATGAAGTTTCCATAATATTTCCTCATGTAGCTAAACTAACATTTAGTTAATAATTCCTCATATTACAATTCTTCTTTATGAACTAAGATTTCTTTTGATGAACATCTTCATGCAAAGTGATTTTTCCCAGGTATAGGATTCTGTCTTTAGAACACCCACCAACATGATCTATAATGCATCTGATCTTTTCTGATCTCCGAAGCTAAGCAGAGTCTGGCCTGGTTAGGACTTAGATGGGAGAACATTTCCCAGTGTAGATTTACTGGGTCTAAGAGCGGACTTTTCCTCAGACTCTTGATACAAAGTATCATGTTAATGTCCGAAAAGGTGACACCAATTTCCACTTCCTGTGTCTGTAGGTATCTGTTTCCTCCAGTGGAAGATGTGTGACCTTATTGGACCCATTGTGAGACCCGCGTGGGTCCAGACTCCCCCTGCCACCTCCAACACACAAGCTGCACCCGTTGGTGAACCACCATGGGGTCTGGGTCTCCGAATGCTGTCAGTTCAGAGCTAATATGCAATGCACTTAGAGTCTCAATACTTTCCTCTTCCCAGTGCAGAGTCACTCTAGTTGTGTTAATTTCTTGGGGTTTGTCTAAAGTCCCACAGACTGAGTGGCTTAAATGGCAGAGGTGGATTCTCGCACAGCTCTGGAGGCCTGGGATCTGAAATCAGGGTGCATGGGAGGATGCACATAGCTTCTATGCACATACTATGTCATTTTATACCAGGGAGTTGAGCATTTATGGATTTTGACATCCTTAGGGGGTCCTGAAACCAGTCCCCCAGTGAGAAGTCAATCACCACCTGTGGAGGTCTGTGCTCCAGACCCTGACTTAATGATGGGTGAATGAATGCACTCTCACACCTATTTCAGTGATTCAAATGGGCTAGAGATGGTCATCAGCTGCTTTCAGAGGACAACTGCCACCAATCGACCAAGACCCCTTGTCCCGTCCTCATATTTTTTCAGTAAAGATTTCATAACAGAGGTTCTAAGTCAACACACTTGTGATAATTAACATGGTTGAAAGAGCGGTTTTTATGAATGATAAAAGCTTTAGGTTCTGGGGCCCAGAGTAAACACTATTAATGGGTAATTCCCCTTCAATTTCCCCCTGAGAAGACCATCAGCACAAAGTTTACCTGAGTAAACAGAGTAGAGACAAAGGGATGTGGGGTAAACAGGATGAACTACGAAGGCCTCTTACCAAGTCTGTCTTTTCCCTAATCTAAGGTAAATGAGCTGGCTGCCTTTAGCCTGTCCCAATAAAGCCGGAAACCGTCAGGCGCAGGTCAATCAGGCCCAAGGTTAGCACAATGGACTTGAGCTGGGCAGCCACAAACTCAATGTCTTCTCCCATCACGGCTGTTAATAAATTGGCAACACAAGGAAGAGCCCCATGTCCAGGCTCAGGCAGGAGCTGCTGCCCTGTGCCCCAAGGGATAGAGGGAGAGGCCCCTCCACTTCTGTGAGAGCCCCCTGGGATGAACACAGTGGCCAATGAGCAAACAACCAGAGGAGCTAAAAGAAAATGAGGCAGGAAGGGCAGAGGGGCAGGCCTGGGGGAAGGCAGCATTCTCTGGCAACCCCCACCCCTACCCAGGGCTCAGAAGCCTTTATATCTTTTTCTTGGTGTGGAAAAAATTCTACCTTCAGGCTACCATGAGTGGGGTCACCACGTACCTGCGCTTCCCAGGCCAGCTGAATGCCAACCTGTAGAAGCTGGCCATGAACATGGTTCCATTTCCCCGGCTGCACTTCTTCATGCCCAGCTTTGCCCCGCTGACCAGCCAGGGCAGCCAGCAGTACCGGGCCCTGACCGTGGCTGAGCTCACTCAGCAGCTCTTTGATGCTAAGAATATGATGGCCGCCTGTGACCCCTGTCACGGCCGCTACCTAACCGTGGCTGCCATTTTTAGAGGTCGCATGTCCATGAGGGAGGTAGATGAGCAAATGTTCAACATTCAAAATAAGAACAGCAGCTACTTTGCTGAATGGCTCCCTCACAACATGAAAACAGCCGTCTGTGACATCCCACCCCAGGGGCTAAAAATGTCGGCCACCTTTATTGGTAACAACACAGCAATCCAAGAGCTCTTCAACTGCATCTCTGAACAGTTTACAGCTATGTTCAGGTGCAAGGCCTTCCTGCACTGGTACACGGGCGAGGGCATGGATGAGATGGAGTTCACCGAGGCTGAGAGCAACCTGGGAGTCCAGGTTACCATCTGGGGAGGCATGGGGGGGAATTCCAGGAGACCAACTGGGGAGGGAGCCCCATAGACACGGGGGAGTGAGCTACGTTCACATTGTCAGTTTTTGATGGCAGTTCTTGTATATAATTGTTTTTCTTCCCCCCCCGCCACGTCACCCCTCCCAGAAGGAGTCTCAATTTGTCGTTCAGGCTGGAGGGTGACAGGTTGCTCAGTGGTGCAACCTTGGCTCACTGCAACCTCCACTCCTGGGTTCAAGTGATTCTCTTGACCCAGCCTCTGGAATAGCTGGGATGACAGGCACCTGCCACCACTCCAGGCCAATTTTTGTGTTTTTAGTAGACATAGGGTTTCACCATGTTGGCCAGGCTGGTCTCAAACTCCTCACCTCAAATGATCTGCCTGCTTTGGCCTCCCAAAGTGCTGGGATTATAGGCACGAGCCACTGCACCCGGCCTACAGTTTCATTATTAAAACAATTCCACTGTGAAAGGGAAAAGAACAGAAAAGAAAGAATTGGTTTAGATAAATAAGTGAAAACAGCAGTTCCTTGGCTTTGGCTGCCGTCCGCGTGAGCCCCAGCAGGAGCCACCTTAGCTGGGGCGGAGTTTCCCCCACAGAGGACCTCGAGGGCTTTGCTCATGCCAAATTGGCCATGGAAATGTCCAAGTGGACAATATCCGTGAGAAAAGATGCAGTTTGAAGCCCCAGATCCTCTGGGGGCAGAGGGAAAGAGGAAGGAACGGGCCTTTTATTTCTTGTTCAGACACAGCTGTCTTAACCCAGACTTGGATTTCAAAATAGTGGAAGATTGCTCACATGTCCATTTGAATTTGTGAGGAGAGCAGACAGCACGGGCTTCATCAGCTCCTTCTTATCCCTCTGCAAGGTCACGGCAGCCGCCCCGTGAGCCACTGTTGTCACTCAGCCTATCTCTGGCCCTCTCTATGAATCACTTCTGCAGTGAGTGCTTTGTTTACGCTGCAGGGAGGGCCTCTCACATACAGGTAGGACAGGGATTAAGGTCAGGCTGGAGGAGACTCCCACGGGATAAGAGGGACTTTCTGGATCTCAGATCCCTCAGCCAGGATGACCTCATCGCATGCCATCCCTCTCTATCAGCAAATCCGTCACTGTGGCTTGAGTCTAGGAAACACCTTTTATAAAATCAGTGGAGATTATCATCTTGGAGGGTCTCGGGACCTCCTTGGGCAAATGTTATCTAACGCTCTGTAAGCAAACAGAGCCTGCCCTATAAAACCCAGGGCTCCGACGGCGTCTCATCCCTGGCTCGTGGTCGTCTTTGGAGCAGAGAGGAGGCAACGGCCCCCATGGAGTACAAGGTGATCTGTGCCCTGGTCCTGGTCTCTGTGCTGGCCCTCAGCACCCTGGCCGAGACCCAGTCAGGTAAGGCACACTTCCTGCTCTGCAGGGCACAGCAGGGCGGGCAGCCTCCGCCGAGCCACTGTTCTACATGCATATTTTTGAGCACCTGTTTCGTGCCAGCTGCTGTTCTAGGCCCTTAAAAGTATATCCCATTTTACAGGATCGGCAAAACCAGTGGAGAATTACGCAGGTGGCAGAGCCCCGGGAGGCCTTCGAGAAGCACTGCGAGGAGGCTGCTTCCCTTGGCCGGGGCCGTTCTCCGTGTTGGGAAGAATATACAATGCTCCCAAGTGTCATGTTTCAAAGAGGAAGTGTAGGCGTGGGGTCTCAGAATAGTGCTTCGGAGTGTTCAAGCCAACATCTCCCCTAGGGGTGGACCCTCCCAAGGCCCTCCCAGAGAGGCCCAAATGCTCCTCCCAGCAATGGCCAACTGGGAGAGCCTCTCCCATAGGGTCTTGGGCTCCCCTGGGATCCACGCTCTGGGGGTCAAAGCCACCTCTCCCATGGGCGCGTGGCTGGCAGCGCCTACTGCCTGGTGTCATCCAGGGGACCAGCTGCCCTGGGAGTGGAGGAGGAGGCTGTTCCTGTTTCCTTGGCAAGTGTGTGCATCTCAGCTCCGTTACCTGCAGAATGGAGCCACAGTCTGCCCTAGGCTGGCAGGGCAATGCCGTGTGGCAGTGCCCGTGACTTGTGCTTTGCCAGCGGCAGGGAGCTGAATAATGTGTCCATTGTTATTAGACACAGTTTCAGGGTGTGGGGCTGGAGAAAGGGCTTTCCACGTTTCCAAAGCAAGGTTTTCCAGAGAGGTCTGAACAGGGGGCGCCCAGCGGTGGTGCCCGGTTTCATTGCCCTCCGGCTACCTCCTGATCAATGCCTGTGGGGTACAGGGCCTGAGGGGGGTGCTGGGGGCTGGGGGCTGGAAGAGGAGATGGCATCAGGCAGCCATGGGAAGCCCCCTGAGCCCATGTCAGGGAGCAGGGGAGCCTCAGAATCTGAGAGGGGAAGTAGCCTTTTGTGCAGGATCAAGGGGGCGGGTCGCCATGCTGGCCACCTGCTGGGCCCATCTGCATCTGCCCTGCCCCCAGCTGTGCCCCCAGCCCTGCCCCCAGCCCTGCCCCCACCCCCGCCCCCAGCTGTGACCCCACCCCTGCCCCCAGCCCTGCCCCCTGTGCTGTGGAATGGCAGAGGCCGAGGCAAACTCTCCTACCCCTCCCCCTCACGCCCTCTGGCCCAAGGCTTAGAGCTTCTTAATGAGTCACTCAGGTCCATGATCCTGTTACAACAGAAATCTAGAATATTGTGTACAATTTAGTGCATGCACGTGTGGAAATCGTTTCCATTTATTTCCATCACACGACAAAGTGGGTGGGTAAGACAGAGCGTGTGGGAGGCAGAAGGCCGGGGCTAGGAAATCCTTCCTGTGGAGGAGCTGCCTCCGGGGTGCTGGTCCGCCACCCACAGCACCTCTCTGGACCCCCACAACCTCCTCAGGGTGGGCGACGATCACTTTCGCCTCATGATGAAGCCAAACCTCAGCAGGGCAAGGTCCCCACAGAAGCCACTGGGCAGTGGGAGGTGGACCTGGATCCTTCCCAGCAAGCCAGGAACACCTTTTCCAAAGAGAGCATGGGGCAGCTGCAGATGCCAAAGCAGACGAGAGAGCAGCCTCGCCTGGCCTCCCCTGCGGCGTCCTCACCTCAGTCCGTGTGGCCAGACTGAGCTCCTCCCTTCCTATGCCCCAAGACAGGTACAGGGACAGAGATAGGGACAGGGACAGGGAGGGTGTTCTGGGCTCCTCTTTCATCCCTGCTGCAGGCTGTCAACCACCAGATCCCAACGGGTTGCTTTCTGAGACCTTTGACTCCACGGAGCTCAGAGCCTGAAGTTGTTGTGCTAGAATCTCTTGCATAAGATGCCTCGATGGCCCCCGGCAGGCCAAGCCCGTCCACATGTCTTCCCCTCTGGACTCCCTTCCTCACTGCCCTGCTTCAAGCTGTTTAACAGCTCACAGTCCTTGTGGTCTGCTCCTCCCAGACCACCACCCCCATCCTCTCACCCTACCTGCCATGGGCTTCCAGCTCCTGATCACGCCTCGTTCTCTCCAATGGCCTCTGCACATGAGGCTCTGTCTCCACCTGGCGAACCTCCTCCTGCAGGGAGCTCCCCCTGCTTTGTTCAGCCTGGTTGTTATTGGCTCCTCCTGGGAGCGCACCCCCCCCCCCCACCGTAGTTACCCTGGGCACCCTGGGATGAGGGCCTTGCGTTCTCTCTCACATTTTCTTGGCTTTCTCCTCCATCAGATCCTTAGACTTTATTTTATTTTATTTTTGAGATGGAGTCTTGCTCTGTTGCTCAGACTAGAGTGCAGTGGCATGATCTTGGCTCACTGCAACCTCCCAGGTTCAAGTGATTCTCCTGCCTCAGCCTCCCAAGTAGCTGGGATTACAGATGTGTGCCACCATGCCCGGCTAATTTTTTATATTTTCAGTAGAGATGGGGTTTTACCATGTTGGCCAGGCTGGTCTTGAACTCCTGATCTCAAGTGATCTACCTGCCTCAGCCTCCCAAAGTGCTGGGATTACAGGCATGAGCCACTGCACCTGGCCCAGATCCTTAGACTTATAACAACTTCTCTGGTTATTTCTGGGTCCCCCTCACCTGGCACAGTGCCTGGCTTTTGCCACGCTAGCTCCTGCTCCTCATGCACACAAGCGGTGCTCAGTAAATATTGATGTATTGAGCTAAAATTTAATAACCATTTGTTGAAATTGAAGAGTGAATAAATAAGTGACCCAGAAAAACGCAAAGTCCACAAACCCGGGGCCCCTTGCGTTTTCCCTGAGTGGAATGTTTGCACACCAGGAGGTGAGGACCAGGTTTTCCGCTCGTGTCTTGAGGGTTTTATATCTGCCTCACCCGACGGTTGCTGATGTCATTGAGAAGGAAGCTGGACCGGCGTGTGCACGATAACATCAAGGGAACTCAGCCCACAACTTACCTTTGCTTCTTACCTGTTCGCTTTTAGAGACGTGTGTGATGGCCCCCCGTGAAAGAAAGAATTGTGGTTTTCCTGGTGTCACCGCCTCCCAGTGCACAAGTAAGGGCTGCTGTTTTGATGACACCATCCCTGGCTTCCCCTGGTGCTTCACTCCTAAGACCATCGATGTCCCTCCAGAAGGTACGGCCTTTTTACACCACGCTGGGCTCTGAAGATTTAGAATTAGTTAGAAAAACCACGTGAGACCACAGAGGCTCTGATCAGCATCACCAGCTGCACCTTTACCTGGAGTCACCGCGGCAGGTGGTGGCTCAGTGGGGTAGCCTGAGTCAGGCTGCATTCAGGTCCGGGGATAGAAAGGCAGGGCTGAGGGGCTGGGGAAGGGACCTGACTTTCCCCGGCTTCTCTTCACATCTCTAACTAAAAGCCCGTGAAGAGCCACTGTTGGTTACGCTTTCCAGCTTGCCTGGGATAGAGGGGGAAGGCATGACAAAATCTGAAGACAGTTCATGTGTTCTTTTTTGAGGGGATGGAGTCTCACTCTGTTGCCCTGGGGCTGGAGTGCAGTGGTGTGATCTCAGCTCACCGTAACCTCCACCTCCTGAGTTCAAGTGATTCTCCTGTCTCGGCCTCCTGAGTAGCCGGGCTAACAGGCAGTGTGTCACTGTGCCCGGCTATTTTTTTTTTTTTTTTTTTTTTTTGCATTTTTACTAGAGACGGGGTTTCACCATATTGGCCAGGCTGGTCTTGAACTCCTGACCTCATGTGATCCACCAGGCTCAGCCTCCAAGAGAGCTGGGATTACAGGCATGAGCCACCGTACCTGGCTGACAATTCATGTTTTCTAAAGAATGTGCCTGTTGGTACTTTTAACTAAAAACTGTAATCATTTAAATGTGAAAGAAAATATTTATCCTCACTAAAGCATCTCTTCCTCCCTCCCCCTCACCCCCGTAGATGAGTGTGAATTTTAGACATTTCTGCAGAGATCTGCCTGCATCCTGATGCAGGTGGTTAGTCCCAGAGCTTGGCTGCCACCTCCACGGGACACCTCAGACACGCTCCTGAAGCCGTGCCTCGATTCTCAACACAGATTGACTACTCTGACTTTGACTACTCAAAATGGGCCTGAAAATTAAAAGAGATTGATGTTATTCTGTGCTTTTCAATCTTTTAAGAATATGAATGATTTTCCTTTCTTTGAAAGTGAAACGCAGCCTTTCACCCTGGCCTCTCGTGGTGGATTATGTGTCTTCTGGGCTGCCTGAGCTGGGACAGGCGTGGGTAGCAGAGTGTGGGAAGCGGGGACGGTGGGGCGTGCAGGAGATGCCTGGCTCTTAGCGCTCAGGGCTGATGCCTGAGGACCAGATCTCAGGCTCCTTCTGTGAAAGCGCAGAGTCCTCCAGAAACAAGTCCGAGCCACACTCATGTCTCCGACTCTCCTGGCATTTCTTAATTACTCACCAAGATGCCCCAGTGCCAAGTGACACAAATTACCTTTCCATGTATTTGTGTTCCCAAATAGAAATTGGCGTAGGAGATGAAACCTGGAGCAGAGTGTCTGAGAGCATGGGTAATGAAAATTAAAGAGGGCGGCGTGGGCCGACCCCTCCCCATCCCCAAAATAGCACTTTATCCCCGCTGGCCCCTCTGCGCCTCGGAGAGGGTTGGGAGAGGGTGCCCCTTGACCTGGTCATCCTTGCTGCAGGACCTCAGCTCAGCAAGCCCCAAGCCACCTGCACCCTGGCTTCCTCCTCCTCCCACTTGTCCCTATATCTGGTGCTCTTGTGCTGGGCACAGATGGCACAATTATACTGGGGATGGGGTCCTGGGAGCTCTGGAAAGCCCCTACTCTCTGCAGCCAGCTGGTTCCAGGGAGGAAGAGGGAGGTGCAGAGCTGAGCAGGGCCAGCTCTTTCCACATGAACCAGTCCGGTACATCACTCCCAAACCCTTGGCCGCTTGGGTAAGCAGGTAAAGTGGCCGAGAAGCCAGGAGGCACCCATCATGAAGAACCGCCAGGAAGCGCAGCCTTTCACCCTGGCCTCGAACCACGGGTGGAACAGGAAGCCCCCTGCCCCCTGCACACAACAGCATATACATGAGCTGTCACAGTACACCTTGTCACTTACATGTCGGGGACCACAGACACCTCCTCTCACCTCTCAGATGTAAGTGAAGTTTTAGCTTCTCTTTTTCATCTGTGGTATGTCTGATCTTACACTCTGTCTGCTAATTACAGGTAAAAATAAGGTAGCTTTATTTAGTCCAATTCCTCTTAAAATTCAGTTTATCTTAATAATTTGCACAGCTTCTGTTGGTCACAGTCTTTGGGGGACACACTGCTCAGTCTCTTACCTCGCTCCACCGCGCCCTGCCCTCTCTGCTTCTGGGTGGAGTGAAGGAGCCCCTGGGTCTGCCCACGCCCCTTGGATTCCTGCTGACCCACTGTGGAGCGAGGCTGGGGGTTCTCAGAGTCCAACTGGCATGTGCCCTGTCCATTCTTCCCACGGTTGCCCAGTGCCAGAAAGGTGGGCTTTCTCCTCGACATCTGGTAGTAGACTGTTTCCTGGGTGTCCACAATCCATTCCTTCCCTTCTTTCTTACCTAACTTGCACTCTACAAAGAAAGGGAAAAAAATTCACTTTCCCAGCCCCTCTTTTAGCCAGAAGTGGCTATGCAATTCTATGTGGCCCATGAGACACAGGGGCATCTATTTGAAGGTTTTGGGAACGAATTTCTTCCATGATGAAAGAAAGTGACTTCTGGCTTTCCAGGCCAGCCCCTGCAGCCTGCCTTTAGGTGTTGTGGAAGGGAGGTGTGATGTGGTGCTGCAGGCAGCCATTCTGTAATAATGAGGTAAGGCCCAAGAGCTAGAGCCTTAATAACCCTGAGCTGCTGATTTGAGCCCCTCACCCACCTCCAGACATCATGTTAAATAAACCTAAGTGTGCTTATGGGTTAAATCACTGATGGTTGGGTTTCCTGTTACATTTCAGTATATTACCAAGGCCCACGTCTTCCCCCTACTATAGAGCAGTGAGCCTATGGCCCAGCCACAATGGCCAGCAACAACTGCTCTCACCAAGGACAGCAGGCAGGGCCAGTTAACAAGGTGGCTCACTGCCTTCCTGTGGGTTCCCTGGGCCTTCACCCAGTGGAGCCTGGGCAACAGGGTGAAATGTTTCTACTAAAAATACAAAAATTAGCTGAGTGTGTGGTGCAAGCCTGTGGTCTCAGTTACTAGGGATGCTGAAGTGGAAGGATTGCTTGAACCCAAGAGGTGGAGACTGCAGTGAGCCGAGACTGTGCCACTGCACTCCAGGCTAGGTGACAGAGTGAGACTCTGTCAAAAAAATAAAATAAAAGCCCTTCCACTTCAGATCTGCTCAAGGCAGTTACACATCAGTTTACACTTTTCTTGTAAGCCGCTCCTTGGCCTGCAGGCAGCGCCCTGGGGCTGCCTCTTCCCATGCTTGTCTGTGTGTCTGGGGTCTGTGTGTCCAAACGTCCTCTCCTCATAAGGACACTAGCCAGACCGGACTAGGGCCCACCCTAACAACCCCATTGTAACTTGATAAAAGAAAAACTCCAGCTGAATTAAATGTAAAGGAGTTTAATGGAGCAACGAACGAGTCACACATGGGGCAGCCTCTTGAGTCGGAGCAGCTCACAGACTCCAGCACAGCCACCTGGTGGGAGCAGATTTACGGACAGAGACAGGAAAGCGACGCACACAGAGAAAGGAGGTGAGGTGCAGAAACAGCCGGACTGGCCACAGCTCCAAGTTGGCCTCACTTGAACCTGGTTTAGACCGTTGGCTGCATTTGATTGGTCAAAACTCGGTGACGGGCACAAGTGTGGGCTATGGGTCGGTTTACACCTCCATCTGTTACATTCACGATGTACAGAGAAAACTTTAGGCCAAACTAAAATACATAAGGCGGTGGCTTTAGGCTAAACTTGGCTTCACAATTTTAATCGCCTCTTTAAAGTCCCCTTCTCCAAATACGATTCCATTCTGAGGCGCTGGGGGTTCCGGCTTCAACGCAGAGGAACACAGTTGGGCCACAGCAGTGGTCCCTGTTACCGCAACCAAAGAGCCCTGGCCAAGGCAGGCTGTTACAGAGCGCTGTCATGATTGGTCACCACTGTTTGAGATGAGGCAGTTCTGCTGTGGATGACAGGAAGACAAAGCGGACTTCGTGAAACTGGAGGCGTGTCAGGTGCAGATAGGGGCAGCGCGTTTGGAAGCATGTTCAAAGCGGAGGGTGAAGGAGTGGTACCCTGTGAGTTGTGCTACGTGATGAGAAGGATGCAAACAGCAAGAACATCACTGAGGAGAGAAAAGGACTGGAGGGCCACGTCACAGGGAGCAGATGGTGTACGCTAGGCTGACAACTCTTTCAGCCCTGAATCAGCAGCACACAGTGGCCCCCGCGTGCTTGGCCCCTGAAATGTGCCGTAAACATGGGCTGCTCTGTGGATTGTGCAGGGCTGCAGCTGGGCTCAGGAGCCCTTGCCCAGGGGCTCTTAGACAAAGCAAGACCATGTGTCAGCACGAGGCTCCCTCCACCTCCTGGTCCCTAGCTGAGGTCTGCGACCCTGGTGGAGAAGGTGGAGAGACGGGGAGGGTTCGAGAGTGCCTCATTGCCTGGAATTCCGGTGTGTGGTCCGTCTACCCTCCTGCACCCCTGTGAGTGTTCACCTTCTCTTTCCCTCATTTTCCACTACGTGCTGTCAATCGATTTAATAAGTAGCAGGATTCACACCCTCCTTTGGTCTGCACACCCCTCTGTTCTGCCACAGGCCACAATTGCTTCTAGATAATTTCCCACACAACAGCAGGGTTCTGTTCAGGGCATGTCTTGAACTAAATGTCAGACCAGGAACTAATTCTTGAAGCTAAGTTGTGGCTTAAGTTCATATTTGTAGGGTCATTGGGAAAGATATCGTTAACTTAAGAAAACTCCCTCACCTTTCTTTGCAAGTAGAGGGAGGGGTGGTTTGTTGCAATATTTAATTTTTATGAGTCTGATAGGAAACATCAGCTCATAAGAAAGAGACACACACCTGGCAAATCTCAGTCCTCATAACTTATTAGAAAGAATGGATGGCCATCAGGAAGAAGGGGCTCCTGACTTAATGGTCCAAGAAGACAGAAGACACCCATTGGTAACACAAGAATAAACAGTACTGTTCTTAAAGGATTCCTGACTTGTTCTCAGCTCTTAGCAGTGCCCTGAGCAGGACATGTTTGAGCCAAACAGACTAACTTAGACCAAACCATACATGGTCACACATGCATGAGCTATGAGGGGACTGAGTGAACCTAAAGGCAAGTGCTGGAAGGATTTTCTACACTTCATCTGATCTAGCGTATCAGTGTCGAGAAGTAGGAGGGGCTAAGCTGATTGTATCTTATATGCAAGCTAACAAGTGAGTCTGCCACAGTTTCCTGGTTGCTTCCAGAAGACAGGAGATTCCTGGTTCAAAGATAAATGACTTTATTACTCATGCTACAGCAAACAGCATAAACAAAGGTTACTTGTGTTGGTTCTGTTTTCCTCCAAGACCCCCAAGGGACTGGGACTGGGACTGGCTCAGACAGGCGCCTGCACACGCAGCAGGTTGCCTAATAGGAGAGAAGCCCTGGCCTTAGGATCCAGGGCTCCTAAGGGACAGTCAGCTCCCTTGCTCTTTGCCCCAGAAGGAGGCACCTTATCCACTTTCTCATAAGGACACCACTTTGTGGCAACACAGACATTGTGACACAGATACCCTTGGAGAGAGATCTGGAAGAAAGGACTGTCTTAAATGCCTCCTATGCGTTTCATTGGTGGGGGGATTACACACCACCCCCAACACCGCATAGGTGAGAACAATAGCAGTTTGTGAGTCCCATAGCCTTAGAGCCCAGGGGCTAAGGACACTGTGCCATGTGGGGCCACACAGAGGGTGCATTCAGGAGCAGAGTGAACAAGCAAAGGCTGTGGGAAGCAGGCTTGGTTAGTATCGAGAGGGTGTGGTGGCCAGCGGTTCCTACAGGAGGATGCAATTGACTTGTTTAAATAATTCTGTGGGCTGTCAGAGAACTAAAATCTGCTGTTCACAGATAAGCAGGCACGGTGCCTGCCGCCTTGATAGGGAGGGTT